ATACCACATTTTCTTTATTCATCTGTCACTTAGGTTGATTTCATATCTTGGCTAGTATGAATAATGCTGTAGTGAACAGGGAAGTGTAGATATCTCTGTGACACTCTGACTTGTTTACCTTTGCATCTATTCCCAGAAGTGAGATCGCTGAACATAATGATAGTTCTATTTTTTGAGGAAGTTCCATATTGTTTTCTATAATGTCTATACTAATTCACATTACCACCAACAGTGTACAAAGGTTACTTTTTCTCTGTACTCTTGCTAACATTTGTTATCTTTTGCCTTTTTGATAATGTCCATTCTGATAGATGATATCTCATTGGGGTTTTAATTTTATTTCCCTGATGATTAGTGATGTCGAGCATTTTCTGGTATATGATTGGCCATTTATATATCTTCTGAAAATTACCTATTCAGATTACCAAGTTTTAATCTGATTTGTACTACCAAAAGTGATTTACACTTCAGTATTGTGTCCCATGGCATTATAAACAGAAATTTAAAAATCTAAGTAGCCAAAGCAATCTTGAGCTAAAACAGAAAAACTGGAGACTTCACAGTACCTAATGTCAGGACCTCTGCAACAACGCCATATTAATCAAAACATCTTGGTATTGGCGTAACAGTATACGTATAAACCAGTGGAGCAGAGTGGAGAACCCAGGGGCCAACATTGTAGTGCAGCAGGTTAGGCCACTGCCTGCAACACCAGCGTCCCATATGAGTACCACTTCCAGTCTAGGCTGCTCCACTTCCAATGCAGCCCCCTGCAAATGGGCCTGGGAAAACAGTGGAAGAGGCCCAAGTGCTTGGGCCCCTGCCACCCAAGTGGGAGAACCAGATGGAGTTCCAGACTCCTGGCTTTCACTTGCCTTAGCTCTACCTGTTGTTGCCATTTGGGGAGAGAACCAACAGATGGAAGATCTCTGTCTTTGTCTCTCCCTCACTGTCTGTAACTCTGCCTTTCAGAGAAACAAGAATAAACTTTTTTTAAAAAATGATTGATTCATTTGCAAGTCAGAATTACAGGATCCTGTGTCCTGGTCTCTCATGTGGGTGCAGGAGCCCAAGGTCTTGGGCCATCCTCTTCTGCTTTCCCAGGCACATTAACAGGAGCTGGATCAGAAGAGGAGCAGCCGGGGCTTGAACTGGTGCTCACATGGGATGCTGGCACTGCAGGTGGCAACTTAATCTGCTGTGCCACAGCATCTGGCCCCCACAAAAATAAATCTTAATAGAGAGCCCAGAAATAAATTATTACATTTGTAGTCAACTAATTTTAAAAACAAAGATACCAAGAATACACAATGAGGGAGAAAGCAGTCTCTTCAATAAATGGTGTTGGGAAAACCTGATACCCATATTCAGAAAAATAAAATTCAACCCTAATCGCATCCCTTATTCAAAATTCAATTTAAAATGAATTAAAATTAGTTAAAAGTAAGACTTGAAAGTGTGAAACTGCTAGAAAAAAATATAAGCATGAGCTGCTTGACACAGGTCTCTTGGCAGTGATTTTTTGCATATGATTCCCAAGCACAGGCAACTAAAGTGAAAACAGACAAGTGAGATTGCATTAAACTAAAAAGTTTCTGCACAGCAAAGGAAACAACAGAATGAAGAGACAGCCTGTGGAATGGGAGAAAATATTTGTAAACCATATATCTGGTAAGGGCTTAATATCCAAAATATATAAGGAACTCAAATAACTCAATAGCAAGAAAATCCAAGAATTTTAATTTTGATGAAATCTCATCTGTTTTTGTTTGTGCTTCTGCTGTCATATCTAAAAAATGATTGCTTAATGCAAAGTCATGAACATGTACTCCTTAAGTACATTACTTTTTCTGAGAATACTGTAAATAAAACAGTAAATTATCTAAATTTCATCTGTGTGCAGCTCAGTATTTGGCTTTGGACACAATCCTAGCTATCTCTAGGGTGTCATGTGAGCTAAAATATACTCACATATGACCTAGCCAGGAACACTTCCTGAATTTCCTTTTCTAATTTTGTGGTTGTTGGGATTTAGTAGAGTTCAGTAATGTGAACAGACTCTAGATTACCTATGCTACTAAAGAAAGATATTAGCCAGTAAGTAATTCATATAGGTAACTTTTGTAAAGTTACTTGGTTTTTTTGGTTTAAAGGAGTTGGAATTGTACAAAGAAGAACTTCAGACAAAACCTGCACTCCTGGCAGTGAATAAAATGGACTTGCCTGGAGCACGAGATAAATTCCAGGACCTGATGAACCAACTCCAGAACCCTAAAGGTAGGCCCATTTATTCATTTAATCTCAGTGTAATGGATACTCATTCTCTACAGAGAAGGATAAAGGTTATAATCACTGGAAAAGAAAATTGACAGTTTCTGCTTTTAAAAACCATGGATGTTTGAAGAAACAACACTTACTATTTGATACATTTAAATAACATTGTAAATACAATCAAGTTTCAGAATGTGATATGCACAGTAAGTAAGTTAAAGGAGGCAAAAGAAAAGAAAAATTAATTTGAACTGAAAAGGTCTGGCTTCATAAACAAATAAAATTTAAACTGAACCCTTAAAGAGAGTGCATGGGATTTGGATGAAAGGAGGAAGAAGGCCGCATCTCCCTGAAGAGTTCCACTTTAATTGACATACTTTGCAAGCTCTAGAATTTCATTCCCCTCGTACACCATAAATTTTAAAACAGAGCCAATAGTTCTGTAGAGCTGTGCTTCTTTGCAACATCAACTCCATAGGTCTCTGAAGAGTATTAGGCCTCTAGAAAGAACATGAGTCCTGTGTGCGTGTGACACAGAAAAATAGATCTTGTTACTTTGAAAGTATTTGTTTGAAATTTCCCAAATGGATCACTTTACCTGACGCTCTACAATTTTGAACATTGACCTTTGCCGGACACTTTCACCCTATGGTGAAGATACTTTCAGTTTTCTGAGACTAATAGGGGGCTTCATGTAGAAACAAGGAAAAGTAGGGTGCATGGTTAAGTGCCTCACATGTTTTTAATGGCACTCTTTTCTCTCTGGAATAACAATTGGGTAAATGTACTATATTAAGACTAGCAGACAGCCTCAGAAGATCCTTCTTCTCTCAAAAAGTTTCCTCTGTGTAATATACATGGTAGAGCTGTTCTTGCGTTGAGTTAGTCTTCAAATATAGACATTTCCTGATACCAATCTTTATTTGTTAATGTCATTTGCTTTATAAGGTTATTCTGTTTGCTTGTAGGTCTTTTAGAGAAGAGAATTTTCAGAGGAGGTCTGAGAAGTGAGGGTAACCCAAGAGTTTGTAGCTATTCTAGACATCTTAAAACAAAATGTAGGCCCTTCAGTGGTGATTCCTGAGTTGGCTTCTCGGGACTTCCTTTGGGGTCTACAGATCTCAGAAACCAAGCTCCCTGATGACTTGTCCAATTGCTTGCAGTCCAGCTTTTCTGGTTCATAGTGTTGTTAACCCATCATGCTGCCCGCTTCCATGCCATGGAGGCAGGGAAGAGGAGAGATAAAGCATCTCTCAGCCACTGTGGCGTGAGAAATGATCTCCCCTCAGCTCTCCCCACTGTCTCTTCAGTGTTAGTATGGATCCTAGCATCAGTAATGAGTAGGTATATTTTGGGGAATTTAAAGTTTTTCTATGTGCTGAGGCCAGCTAGAAGGTTCCATGTTATAAATGATGTTATTTTGACAGCAAATTCCTTTCAAATAATCTATGTTGCCTCATTTATTCAAACCTCCCAAAGCAAAATTTATTAATTCTATAAGTGCATCATTTTATGATTTATCTTCTATTTATACTTAGTTTAAAATCTATTCACTGAAAAATATTTATTAAGTATTTATCTTGAAGAACCTTAACATTATCATTAGTAAAATCCTAAGCTTACCGGAATCTGAAAACTTACAAGACAAAGAAGGGAAAAAATGAATCAAAAATGTTATTTCCAACAGTTAGGTAAAATAAAGAAAGGGTTTCCAAAATGGAAAAGAAGAAGTTAAATTGTCACTGTTTGCAGGTGACAGGATCACTTATATAGAAACCCAAAGACTCCACCAAAAAGCTACCAAACTTGTAAATAAATTCAGCAAAGTTGCAGGACACAAAGTCAACAGAAAAATCAATAGCATTGTTACACACCAGTTGTGAATTATCTGAAAAAGAAAATCACATTTCCAATGCAACAAATGAAATACCTATTACTAAAATTAATCAAAGACATGAAAGATATCTACAGTGCAAACTGTAAAACACTGAAAGAAATTGAAGAATATAGCCAGAAATCAAAAGACATCTTGTGTTCATGGATTGGAAGAATCATTGTCATTTAAATGTCCATACTACCTAAAGCAATTTACAGATTCAGTGAAATCCCTATAAAAATACCAATGACATTTTTCACAAAAATAGATAAACTACTAAAATTTGTGTGGAACCACAAAAGAAAACCCAGAATAGGCTCTTGAATGCTGAAGGTGATCATGAGCAAAAAGAACAAAAGCAGGAGGCATTTCACTACCTGACTTTAAAATACATTACAGAGCTACAATAATTAAAACAGAATGGTATTGGCATTCAAACATATACATAGACCTGTGAAACAGAACACAGATCCTAGAAGTGAACCCTTGCATCTGTAGCATCTGATTTTTGACAGAAGCTCTAAGAACACATACTGGGAAAAGTATAGACTTTTCAGCAAATGCTCCTGGAAAAACTATATTTCCATCTGCAGAATGAAACCAGACCCTTATCTTTTTTTTTTTTTTTTTTTGACAGGCAGAGTGGACAGTGAGGGAGAGAGACAGAGAGAAAGGTCTTCCTTTTGCCGTTGGTTCACCCTCCAGTGGCTGCCACGGCTGGCGCGCTGCTGCCGGCGCACCGCGCTGATCCAAAGGCAGGAGCCAGGCCCTGCTGGTCTCCCGTGGGGTGCAGAGCCCAAGCACTTGGGCCATCCTCCATTGCACTCCCGGGCCACAGCAGAGAGCTAGCCTGAAAGAGGGGCAACCGGGACAGAATCCGGTGCCCCAACCGGGACTAGAACCTGGCTCCTGGCTCCTGGCTCCTGGCTTCGGATCAGCATGGTGTGCTGGCCGCAGCGGCCATTGGGGGGTGAACCAACGGAAAAGGAAGACCTCTTTTTCTGTCTGTCTCTCTCACTGTCCACTCTGCCTGTCAAAAAAAAAAAAAAAAAAAGACAAAAGATAACACTGCTGCCAAGGCTGTGGAGGAAAGGAAACCCTTACACACTGTTGGTAGGATGTACATTAATTAGTACAGCCATTGTGGAAAACAGTAAGGCAGTTCCTCCAAAAACTGCAAATAGAGCTTCCAAATGACCCAGCTTTCCTACTCCTGGGTTTGTATCCACAGGAAATGAAATCTCTTCATGGAAGAGACATGTTTATTGCAGCACTATTCATAGTAGCCAAGAAATGGAAACAACCTAAGTGCCCTTCGCTGATAAATGGACAAAGAAAATGTGATACATATTACATATGCATAAAGGAATACTCTTCACCATAGAAAGGAAGAGATCTTAAATTTGCAAAAACTCGGTTGGAACTAGAGGTCATTAAACAAAGTGAAGTAAGCCAAGTACCAAATGAGTTCATCCAAGTGTAGCCTGAATATGGTGATCTCATCAGTGCTTAGAGTGTTATTGTGGTTACCAGAGGCTGGGCAGGGGTGGTACTAAGTTATAATTAGCAGACATAAGTTCTGTTCAGTTTTACAGTAGGATGACTACAGATAATGATGTGTGTTATATATTTATTTTTTTTTCAAGTGTTCTGAATATTTTTACCATAAAGAAATCTTTAACGTTTGAGGAGATAGGTATGTTTACCCTGATTGGACAGTATACATTGTATACATGTATAGAACCATCATGTGATACCCCATAAACACAATCTTTATGTCAGTTAAAAAAAAAAACCAACAGTTTTCAGTGCCCTGCTTCACAAATCAAACCCCTAACAGTTTTAACTTATTTTCAAAGACCTTGAGAATCAGCTTAGATTTGTGTTGTTTCAGATTTTCTGCATTTATTTGAAAGAAGTATGATTCCAGAGAGGACTATGGCGTTCCAGCACATCATCCCAGTCTCTGCAGTTACCGGAGAAGGGATCGAGGAGTTAAAGAACTGTATAAGGAAGTCACTGGACGAGCATGCCGACCAGGGAAACGATGCATATCGTAAGAAACAGCTGCTTAATTTACAGACGTCCAGTGAGCCACCATCAAAGCATGCTGTCACAATTCCAGAAGGGGTAGAATTGAAGTCTACTAACAGTGGTATCGATAGAAAGACTATTTGGCCCTAAGAAATAAGAAAATATTATTTACAACAATGTGGATGAACCTGGGAAACCTACTATTAAGTGAAATAAGCCAGGCACAAAGACAGATACCGTGTGACCCCCTTGCGTGGGAAACCTGAAGGACTGGAAATCACGGAAGCAGAGAAAGCGGTGGTTACCAGGCCTGGGGATGGTGGGGAATGGGGAGATGCTGGTCACAGGACACGGAGTACGTCCTGGAGGTCTAGTGTACAAAATGGATTTTAAAAATCAGAGTAAGATTTAAATGCTCTCACCACAAAAAATCAATGTGTAAAGGGTGTATGTTACTTAGCTCAACTGAGTTTGCTTATTGTATTGTGCTTTTTGTGATATACAGTCAGGCATCACTTAACAAAAGGCACATTCTGAGACCTGTGTTGTTACTTAGTTGCAAAGACATGATAGAGTTTACTTATACAAACCAAGACAGCTACAGTATCAGGAGGCCATATGATCTTAAGGGAGCATTGTTGACCAAAATGTCATTGTGCAATATCCATATTATTATTTATCACAGTAGGTGAACTTTGTTTTCCTTTAAATGGTAAACATAATTGGGAAAAACTATCTCAAGGGTATTTAATTTCAGGTTTATCCATTTCTTGTAACATTGTTTCCTTTTAATTCTGTGCTTATTTGCTTTCTAAGGGTTGAGATCAGAGATTCCTTTGAGAAAATGAAAACCATATTTTTCTTGTCAAAAAATATACATCAACACATGAAGTAGTTCTCAAGTATTTTCATAGAACTTGAAAAGTTCAGATTAAAAACACAGTTCAAAAAAGATATATCCTGGCCAGCACCATGGCTCACTAGGCTAATCCTCTGCCTCGCGGTGCCGGCACACCGGGTTCTAGTCCCGGTCGGGGTGCCGGATTCTGTCCTGGTTGCCCCTCTTCCAGGCCAGCTCTCTGGTATGGCCAGGGAGTGCAGTGAAAGATGGCCCAGGTCCTTGGGCCCTGCACCCCATGGGAGACCAGGAGAAGCACCTGGCTCCTGGCTTCGGATCGGCGCAGCGCACTGGCTGTAGCGGCCATTTGTGGGGGTGAACCAATGGCAAAAGGAAGGCCTTTCTCTGTCTCTCTCTCTCACTATCCACTCTGCTTATCCAGAAATTTGTAATATAATTAAGGTTGATTGAAAATAATGTTCCGGGAGCAGATATCTGGCGTGGTGGTTAGAAGGCTGCTTGGGACACCTGCATCCTGTAGGAGGACCTGGGTTCCATCTTAGCTCCAGTCCTGGCTCCACTCCCAATTCTGGTTTCTGGTTGATGTGACACTGGGAGATAGCATGTTAAAGCCACAATAGTTAGGTCCCTGCTGCCAACTTGGGAGACTCAGGTTGAGTCCCTGTCTTCTGACATAAAAATGAAAGTAAGCAATAATGTGAATTGTAAACCCACACGAATGACATTTGCAGACATAGAGCAGCATTTTATTTGAAGACCAAATATAGTAACTTGAATTTAATGTATATTTTCAAATCCTTAAGAGTATCTCAAATTTGGCTTAAATCTATCCTTACAGAAAAGTCGTGTGAAACCAACCCAGAAATGTAGTTTGAATGTGTGGTAATGTGTTCTGAGTTGGGAATGTTATATTCTGGTACTGTGCTGAGTACATCACATATATTAACTCATGTAAAGACTAGCCTGTCTTGCCTTCTGGTCATTTATGTTTTTCAATGAGTAATGCATATATGCAGTATTAAATTTTTTGAGATTCTAAAATATTTGATAAGTTATTTTTTTTATTTGAGACAGAACTTTCATCTGATGGTACATTCCACAGATATCTGTAATGGCTAAACCATTACCTGGCCTTGCTAAACCTGGGAGCTGGTAACTCAGTCCAGGTCAGCTCTGCATGTGGCAAGGACCGAACTACTTGAGCCATCACCTGTGGCCTAACAGGGTGCACATTAGCAGGAAACTGGAATCAGGATTCAGAGCCGGGAACTGAACTCAGGCACTCTGACATGGGATACATGTGCCATTACCTGCAGCTTAGGCTAAGTATTCACTCTGATATTTCATAACTTTTGAAAAAGACATTAGGAGAAAATGTGTAGTCTTGTCTTTACAAAAGTTTCTAAAAGAGACCTTTTCTATCTCTCTCTTTTTTTTTTTTTTGATTGGAGCTTGGGAAGTAGAGGGAAAATGTCAGGGTAATCTCTAGCTGTGCTTAGGTTTCACTAGCTGGTTAAAGGAGAAAACAAATAAATATGAGGCTTGAGAAAGGGAGAGAGGACAGAGAGAAAAATAGGAATGTTGAAAAACTGGATAACTCAGGGATAGCAGATAGGGTATTCCTTTAGTTGACTGACATGAAAAAGCCATGGGCAATTTTAACTACCTACTCTGACCAATACTAGCCACTGATTTTATAAATTTTTTTTATGTTTCTGAGCATATGAAAGTTTCTTAGTTAATATTTATTGGGTGCTTGGAAGACTTCAGAGGAAGTAATCACCTTTGTACATATTAATGTATTTAAAATAGAAATTAAATTTTTTGGGATGTCCAGCTACCAAGCTTTGTGAAGCATAACTATTATCTGAATCATGTCCTTTGCAATTCTTGGAATTTGAAGAACAGGCTATGCACTTTATATTATAACTAATTTTGGAGCGATATATGGCTAGACAATTTCTTCCTATTTGTTTTGTAAACTCTAAGTGCGTTGAAGGTTGAAAGCAAAGGACAAAAGCTTCCTTTGTTCATGATCCATATTCCAATGTATTTTTCTGAAATTGCCAATATCTTCTAACCACTGCCTTCATTTTCTATTGGTTATCAAACATTATTATTGGTATTATTTCTGTATGAAAGACTGTAATTTTCTCATATTTAGAAAGGGCACAATTGTAAAGCTAAAATATACTTTCCATTTTTGTTTGTATATGGTTTGCTACAAATTGAAGGATCCTGAAAATTTTAAATCAAGGATAGACATTGAGTAAAAGCTTATGACTTTGGATAGATTTGGAACATGATTAAATGACAGAATAAATAAAAGCCCTTGGTCAATAATTGAGCCTCAGTTTCAAAAACAAATCTTTCCAGGAAGTGGTACACTTTGGGGTCAAGAGAAATTGGAAGAAAAATATGAGCACACAGAGCGTTTCCTATAAAAATATGAGCCAGAAAAACTGATCTGCCTCAAGGAACCATTATTGTTATAATGCTGGATTTGTAACATATTTTTGTTTCATCTGCTGAAATACAGGTTTCTTTTGAAATCTGGTAAAAAAAAAAAAAAGTGGTGGGGCAGGAAGGGGTGGCAAGCAGGGTAAAGCCCAAAGCACAGAGATTTAACCCGCCTGAAAGCCACTGCAGGCAAGAGCCTTCAGCTTCCTTCGTTAGAGGCCAATTCTTAGGTGCAGAGCCCTTTCTCTCTCCCTCCCCTCCAGGGTAATTTTATTAGCAAACAAATGTGCACCTAGTGGTGGTGCACTACAAAGTCCTGAAAAGTAATAGATCACTGTTTAAATTACTGAAAATCCTTTCTTTGTTAATCGGTGACTTACACTGCGGAAACGTATGGCCTTGCGGCTCTGGCAGCGGTGGAGGTTGCTTCTGAGGGCTGTGGCAGAGTCTGCCCACACCTTGTGCAGCAGAAGCTTGCCGACAACGCTGGGCATCCCTTGGCTAGCACATGGTGGCTTCAGAAAGTTCCTGGAGATGTAGATTCTGAGAAACTATGCATGGACTTCAGGTATTTTTTACAGCAAAATAAACTTTTAATTCCATTTTCTGTGAACTTGAAATAACCTCTTAGAAGCATCATCCCAATTTTTTTTTATTAAAGATTTATTTATTTTGTTTGAGAGGCAGAGTTGGAGGGAGAGAGGGAGAGCGCTTCCATCCACTGGTTTCCTCCCCAAATGGCTGAAGCCAGGAGCTAGGAGCTTCATTGAGGTCTCCCTTGTGGTTGCAGGGGCCCAAGCACGTGGACCATCCTCTGCTGCCTTCCCAGGCACATTAGCAGGGAGCTGAACTGAAAGTGGAGCAGCCAGGACTCAAACTGGCATCCATATGGGATGCTGGCACTGAAGCATGTTTAACCCCCTGTACTGTAGAGCCAGCCCCAGCATTATCCCAATTTCTGCCTTCATCATCACATGTGTGCATGGTTCTCTGCAAATTTCTCCTTTTTTATAAGGACATCAGCCATAGTGGATTAGAGCCCACCCTAATCACCTAACTATAAAGACCCTATCTCCAAATCACGTTGCATTCCAAGCTACTGGGGATTAAGACGTCAATATATGAACTTGGGGGGTGGGAATGACACAGTTCAACCTGAGGCACCTCTATTTTTTCTCTACACTTAGTATTAATACACCTCCCAATTAATAGATAATATTATCTATTACTTTTTGATATGCTCCTAAAATTGTATATGGGGAGCCTTTCATTAATCTATATTTGTTGAATTTCATTTATGGACTTGGAAATACTCTGGTGAGATATAACTAATGTAAAACCCGTGCAAGGTGGAGTGGATGAACTGTGAATAGATTATAGAAGGATCAAATATTGAGAGAAGAGGGAACACAGGATTTGGGTGAGCAAAGAGGATAGAAAGAGGCCATTTAAAATTCAGGAATACCTTCAAGGAGCACTTAGAGTAAGTACTGCAGAAGAAATACACAATAAGGAGACTGGTGTGTGTCTGTTGCATTCCAAGCAGTAACAGCAACCTTTTAGCAAGAGCCACCACATAACCCTTGTCAATGTAGGGCAAATTACTTAATCATGTGCTGGAAATATAGGGGACATTGTAGTTAGATGACTGATGACAAAGAAGCCAGTGCTTGGTTCATATAAATGCTTGATCAATGATATCTGTAATTTTTAATTGACAATATATATGATAGGACATTGTTACTTCTGTCCTGATGTGAGGAGGTGAGGGCTGGAATAATATCATGACAGTTCTTTGTAGAGAATAAGAGACAGGTGGATATTTCAAAGGAAGAATCAGAATGTGATTCCTAATTTAAGTAAAATCAATGGATAAAATACAAGGAAGATAAGAAGTAATTTGAAATCACTGACACAATAAGGAATGATGAAAGACATAAAAGGTATATTTATTCATTTGTTTTTGGAAAATGCTGAATTTGAAGTTAAATATACAAGTATTAGGGGCCAGTGCTGTGGTGCAGCAGGTTAAAGCCCTGGCCTGAAGTGCCAGCATCCAATATGGGCGCCGGTTCTAGTCCTGGCTCCTCCACTTCCAATCCAGCTCTCTGCTATGGCCTGGGAAAGCAGTAGAAGACGGCCCAAGTCCTTGGGCCCCTGCACCCGCGTGGGAGACCCAGAAGAAGCTCCTGGCTCCTGGCTTCGGATCGGTGCAGCTCCAGCAGTTGTGGCCACCTGGGGGGTGAACCAGCGGATGGAAGATCCCTCTCTCTGTCTCTGCCTTTCTCTGTAACTCTGTCTTTCAAATAAATAAAATAAATCTTTAAAAAAATGCAAGTATTAGAAATAATACTAAAGTCGTGGAAAGTCTGGGCTAAAGTAACAGATTTCTGGAGATAGAAAACTGGTGGCCCTCTGAAGAAGTTTGTTGACAAAGAAGGGACCTAGGACAGTGCCATTTGTTAACTGCATTGGAGAATAGGGGGTGAGCGTGAAAGCCACAAGTGGAGAGGGAACTAGAAGAAGGAATGTAGTGTTTCCTCATCAACAAAAAGGAGTTCAACTTTTTAAAAAAAAAATTGCTTAATGTGGATATGAAGATGGAGAAGAGGCTTTGGGGTTCAGACAGGAAGAGGTTACTGGGACTGTGGGTATGGAGAATAACTGTCTCCAACGAGACCCACATCTTCATCTGCAGAGTGTGAATGTGTTACGTGGTGCTATGGTTTGGATGTGCTTTCATTTATATCCTCCCAAAGGCTCATGTGACTGGGGGGCTTGAGCACCGTGGTGGCCATATTGGAGGGTGGGGGAACCTTTATCAGATGGGGCCTAGTCAGAGGTCCCATAGGTCAGTAGGGGCATGCTCGGAGAAGGTATTTCTCATGAGAACCCTTGAATTCTCCAAAGAGGATTGGTATTAAAAGAGCAAGCTTGCGCTCTTGCTCTCTCCCTCTCTGTCTCTTTCTCCCTCTCCATCCTGGTGTGATCCTTGGGTCATGAAGTCCTCACCAGAACTGAGCCAATGTAGATTCCATGCCCTTTACAAGCATGAACTTGTAAAATAAAAAAAAAATAATAATAACCTCTTCCCTTTATAAAGTTAGCTGCCTCAGGTACTTTTTTGTAGTAATGCAAAGCCAACTGTTGTATTTGGCAAGGAGGAATTTAGGTTTTGGATGGAATTAAAGGTGCTAATCAGATGACTGCAAAACAGAGAAACTACCCTCGGTTATCCCGGTGGGCCTGAGAAATCACAAGGGTTCTTTAAAGATGCAAGAACAAGGCAGAAGGATGTCCATGTGACGTGAGAAAGACTTGGCCAGACATTGCTGGTTTTGAAGAGAGGAGGGGCCACAAGCCTGGGGATGCAGGTGACTTCAGGAAGCTGGGAACGGCAAGAAAAGGATTTTCCCCTGCAGCCTCCAAAAGCAAAACAAAACTCCCACAAGGAAACCGCAGCCCTGCTGACATCTTGCTTTTAGCCCAAGGAGACCTGTGTTGGACTTCTGTGCTCCAGACCTGTAAGCGAATACATCTGTGGTGTTTTTAGGTCTTTGAGTTTGTAGTAATTTGTTACAACAGCAGTAGAAGTATAGTGACCAAATGGGAATCTTTGTAAGAGGTTGGTGGTAAATGGTTTATTGCAATGCATTTGTTCTAAGATTTTACTTCTGGGGCTGATGCTGTGGTGTAATAGACTAAGCCTCTACCTGTGGCACCAGCATCCCATATGAGCGCTGATTTGTGTGCTGGCTGCTCCTCTTCTGATCCAGCTCTCTGCTGTGGCCTGGGAAAGCAGTGGAAGATGGCCCAAGTCCTTGGGCCCTGCTCCTGTAAGAGACCTGGAAGAAGCTCCCGGCTCTTAGCTTTGGATTGGCCCAGCTCCAACTGTTGTGGCCATTTGGGGAGTGAACCAGAGGATAGAAGATCTTCCTCTCTGTCTCTCCCTCTCTCTGTAACTCTACCTTTCAAATAAATAAATAAATAAATATTTTTTAAAAAGCTTTTACTTGTTACGTTAAATCTGTGGTTAGAAAAACAGGACAGCCAGGACTGTTAAAAACTGACCTAAAGTATTTTTTTTTTTTGACAGGCAGAGTGGACAGTGAGAGAGAGAGAGAGAGAGAGAAAGGTCTTCCTTTGCCGTTGGTTCACCCTCCAATGGCCGCCGTGGCCGGCGCACTGCGCTGATCCAATGGCAGGAGCCAGGTGCTTCTCCTGGTCTCCCCTGGGGTGCAGGGCCCAAGCACTTGGGCCATCCTCCACTGCACTCCCGGGCCACAGCAGAGAGCTGGCCTGGAAGAGGGGCAACCGGGACAGAATCCGGCGCCCCAACCGGGACTAGAACCCAGTGTGCTGGCGCCGCAAGGTGGAGGATTAGCCTAGTGAGCCGCGGCACCAGCTATTGTTCAGTTTTTAAAATTCAGTTCAATAGATGGGAGAAAGTGAGAGCACAGAAGTGATTCTCCTGTGTCACACTGCCGTCCTCTTCCTGCTAATGCCAGAGCTGGCCTGAAGTCCAGGGCCTATCCTGCTCACTCGTTTATTCCCTGCTCAGTGCTTTCTTCCTCATTAGTGCATTTCTGGGTCTGGCTCTGGAATCAGATTGCTCCTGGCTTCAAATAACCTTATCCATTCTCTGAAGCAATACGGCCAACAAGACAGGAGTAGAAGTGGACAGGTAAAACCTTTCCCCTTGTCCTGCATGGACAGATAATCCCATTGTTATTACTGAAAATGCTGATAGCAAATATACAGTCCTTATTGTGCGCACCCCGTTGGAGACTTTTCTTTGTATAGTCACTCATTTAGTTCTCAAAAATTTCTAGTGTGGATACAGCACAGTGTTACTGTGACACCCAGAGGGGCAAAGAGGCTCC